ACCTAAGGAAAGCAGAACGGGAATATAAATAACACAGGAGTAATAAGGGGACGAAAGGGAAAAGATGGATACAACACTCACCATCAACGATGGAGAAGAACATCGCCATTTTTCCACGCCGCCTCCAAGAGGGGCTCATCCCTACCCCATAAAGAAGCATCTCGGAGTAATCTTCAGCGGATGCCTGCACACCCTTCAAGTAGTCGGCGACACCTTGGTTGTGGGGAAAGAGTTTAGGGATGGTATCGACGAAAACGTTGGCACAGTAGCAACCACTCCCAACCAGCTCCTGATTCACCCACAACCATTTATCTTGCCAATTTTTGGGGGTACGCCCATCGGGGACTAAAACGTGCCCCCCTCGTTGAGCCGAGAAAGTGCATTTATCTCCGGTAGCACGGAAACGGAAGAAAAACTTGAAGACAAAGTAATCTGGAAGATACCCGTTGGTCCGACAGATCATTTCAGACACATCCACTTTGTTAACTGCGTTGGGGGTCAACATCTGGAGGCTACAACCATCTTTCTGGAGGACCTCCTCCTGGAAATCCGTTAGCGGAAAGCGTATACCAGCATCTAGGGTTTTTAGATAAACCCTAATCTTACCAGGGGGAGGAGATAATGGAACCACGAGAGGGAAACTCCACACCCTCCAAAGAAGACAAACCATAAGAGATCGCCAACTGACGATACTCGGCGGCGAACGGAATGATTCCGGGAAGGTTTTCCATGAACAAAAATGGAAGATGAACGCAAAAAGGGAAAAGAAGAGCAGATAAGGCAAGAGAAATTGTGCAGAGACCCTTAATAAGGAAGTGGAAGAGGCGGGACATTTAAATGGCTGGCACAATGACGTAACTTCCAGTCATATCTCGCAGTCATGTCGCCATTAAAGGCGGAGTGGCGGATAAAGAAAAACTAACACACGTCAGTTAGTTAAGCCTAGAACATCGTAACTAGCGCTGCAACGCTACGACTACTGGACTGGGGGACTTGATGGCGTGCCTAGGGAAGCACAGCAGAACCGCGTCTAGCCCAAGAGCCGGGCACGCCAACCAAGCTCAGCCCAGCAGGCTCAGCGCCCGCTGGCGTCCCCGGGAGCGAAGCGCACAGGTGAAAGGCTCGCGCCTGCCAAGAGGCGCTCCTGGATCCAGTACAAAAGATACGGTCATGAGACAAGCAGTAGGATCAGAGCATTATCGCTTGAGCCAATGAGAGCGCTCTAACGATTGAAGGTGTATGACCCTCCAATCAGCGCCTCTGATCATGTCTCCCCAAAAGCAATTCTGTCTGGTACGGCTTACGCAGGTGCGCTAGGTATAAAAGGATGTGCTCTCAGACCTGCGAGGTAAGTTATCAAAGCTTTCTGGAGAGAATACACACACAAACCCTAAAATACCCTCTAACTTGACCGTCGGAGCGTTCTTTCGGGAGATCCTCCCAGAAAGCGGTTGACGGCCTCTTTATATAGGGTACAACTTCTGGGATTAGGGTTTTTCTCCTTTCAGCACCAACTCGTCGAGGCCATCTACCGACTCGCCGAGTTGATCACTTAACATGCGTCCAGAATCGCGACCCGACTCATCGAGTCTATCTATCGACTTGCCGAGTCAACCTTCCATACTTACACTTAGAACCCTAAACTTGTACTTCTGAACTTGGGGTGTTACAATTCTCCCCCACTTAAATTAGGCTTCGTCCTCGAAGCCTGTAACAACACATCCCAGATGACACTCCCTCAATACAGCTCCTGGTCTCAACCGACCCAAGTTCCTCTGAACACTGCTATTGGACCTCTATAAAGTCCAACTCTTCCCTCCCAGAGTTACGACAACTAATTTAAGTCGGCCACCGACTTCTTTCTCTGATAACAACCCTTATTAACCAATGATCACCCAATGATACTTTCATCACTCCAATTCACAACATTCACTTGACCCTTACCAAGCTAGATATCTCCCTGAACCACCGAGTCCTGACCCGGTACCAAGCTGCTACCCCTTTTCTCGACTGACATATCCTTTATCGAATTCACTCCTGGGACTTATCCTGCTTTCCTTTCCGAATTCAACTCGTTTCTTTCCGAGCTGACAGGATGACACATCCTTCAGCTCCTGAGCAACTCCCATGAGTTCTCCTTTTTAATCACATACACATGTTGTACCTGATCCCACATCCTCGGGCTGGAAAACCCGACACACTGATGATACCTCCAGATATCTCCAGAATGAATTTTCGCTACCTACATAACTCCTAATCACAACCATACTAGAAATTCCAAGGCTCCCTCCTTTCATCCACTCCGAACTCCTCTGGTTCTACACTATCGGAAATCCCTCTGCAACCTCAACAGACACCCAATCCGGATGTGCTTACACACCACTGGTACAATCCTAGTACTTACTACCAATAGTTGAAGCACTGTCGATAATCCACTTACTCCACTTCCTCCTCTTGGAGTACCTACGCTCCTTCCGGAGCTACATGCTTTTCCTTTCAAGGAAATCCACTCAACAACCCTTACTGCACCTGCACGTGCTACTGATCTACACTTCACTTTACGTTATCCATGTAGAGCAATTGCTATTCTTGAACTTCCATATACTCTGAATCTGCTCGCAAGGACTCTCGGGTTTATGCACTACTTTCCACTAACATGATCAATACTTGGGGCCAGACCATATCGATTATCATTCCCTGGTGACGCTTTTCCTCATTTTCCTCGTACCAACCCCCTAACACATACAGAGTCTTCAGCATGACTGGACCGCCTTACCAGGCCTTCAGCCTATATGGACCACTCTTGGAACCTTCAACATATCTGGACCGCCCTCCTGGGCCTTCAGCCTGTCTGGACCGTTCCCCGAGCCTTCGGTCTGACTGGTACGCCTTCTGGCCTTCAGTTTGTCCGGACCGCTCACGACTGTCTTACGTCACCCTGAACCATTCTTTCCGGGAATCTCTCCCGTACATACTGTTCTAGCCCTCTTGGGGTTCCGAACTTTAACTACATTCTATATACTCAAATCCTGGCCTAACCCTAGGCTCAACCTTGGTCTGTATCCCGCCCCACTCATCTGACCTACTCATACCAGCCCACGCTCTTGGGTAACTGAAATATTGCTGAAACCCAAACATCTAAATGACCTCTTATGCTATCGATCCTCCTGAGAATTTTCCAATTCTCCCCACTTAGAGCACTGACTACTAACCACCAGTGACCCAACCGATATCACTTACACAATCCTACTCAATAAATTCTCTTATACTTGATCTAATTATGAAATGAGCAACCTCCACAAAGTCACTTTCCGACATTGCACATCTCGAACTCTAAAGGAGTTCGACCCCCAACTGAGTATCCATCAAATTGCAAATGCTAAACACGACATTTAGACCCAAAAAGCCTAATTCACCACCTTCAATCCCCAAGGATGATAACCAACTAAGTCTCCCAATACCAAAACCCCCGATCATACGATAAACCTGACGAAAAGATTAACGAATACCATACCATGAATCATGCGAACGAGACTAGCAGATATAAAATACTCCATAACAACCATAAGATAACAAGATATTAAGAAGGAAACATACCCGCAGCTGTATCCGGCTTTGCAGAGGTGTACACTAATCCTTAGAGGTGTGCACTGATCCGTAGAGGTATACGCTGATCCTTAGAGGTGTGCACTGATCCGTAGAGGTGTACACTGATCCTTGGAGATGTGCACAGATCCGCAGAGCTGTACACTTATCCTTAGAGGTGTGTACTGCTCCCCAGAGGTGTACACTGATCCTTAGAGGTGTGAACTGATCCGCAGAGGTGTCCACCGATCCTTAGAGGTGTACACTGATCCTTAGAGGTATGCACTGATTTGCAAAGGTGTACACTGATCCTTATAGATGTGCATAGATCCGCAGAGCTGTACATTGATCCTTAGATGTGTGTATTGCTCCGCAGAGGTGTACACTGATCCTTAGAGGTGTGCATTGATCTGTAGAGGTGTACACTGATCCTTAGAGGTATGCACTGATCCGCAGAGGTGTACACTAATCCTTAGAGATGTGCACAGATCTGCAGAGTTGTACATTGATCCTTAGAGGTGTGTATTGCTCCGCAGAGGTGTACATTGATTCTTATATATATATATATATATATATATATATATAAAAGACATTTCATTATTAGGTTATTTACAAACCTAGTTGAGTTAACTTTTACTTTCTTCAATAGAACAAAAATACAAAATAATACAAATACATGAAAAACATACATCAGTAGCAAACATATTACATAAAACACTTCATTATTTTTAACTTTTTTTCTCAAATTTTTTTACATAATAATCACATAAAGTATAAGTGTATTTATAAAAAATAATATTAATAAACGAAAATGAACACAAAAAAACGAAAAAAAAAATTAAAAAACCAACATTCCGCAGAGCTGTAGCTGGATCCGTAGACTTTAATGGATCCGCAGAGGGTGGATTCCCAAAGAGTTATGCGGACTGATATCAAACATAAGTTTATTATTTTAAACCTTTTTTTGTCAAATTATTTACATAATCACATAAGATATTAGTGTATTTAAAAAAATTAATATTAATAAATGAAAAAAAACTAAAAACTAAAAACTAAAAACTAAAAAAAAATTAAAAAATCAATAAACAACAATTCCACAGAGTTGTAGAGAATCAATGAGCATTTAATGATTCCGCAGAGGATGCATCCTGAAATCATTTTTCAAAATTTGATTTTTCGATTATTTTCTTGAAACCAGTTTTTTTTTATTTTTTTGTTATTATCCGAATTTTCTCTTTGTATAATTCAAATAATTTAGGAAAAAGGTTCTAGAGAGTCTTCCACTTCTACAACAGTCGATAATTGTGTGCTTCCCCCTCTACTTCAGTCTCTATGGTTGAAAATTGACCCTCACAAGTGACAAACCACCTTCATCTTGCCTTCTCTGTGGATATCACACTCGCTACCCATCGTCCATGGCGGCCGCTAGAGTCATGATGTCTGCTAGCAGTATCTCCACATCATCTATGTTCTTCAAAGCCGCGACCACTCCATTCTCAAAACCTAATAGATTAAGACATTGCTTCAATACCCACAACAGATTAGCTTCAAGTAAAAGGCTTTTCACCTGTAAATCCCTCTACAGGCCGCATGTCCAGATCAAAGAGTAAGGACAACCTGAAACCCTAGATTACAGAGTCTTCTTCGTCGATGATTCTGGCAAAAAGGTTTCACTATATACCGCATTCTCTCCATTTTGCTGTGTAGTTCTGATTGCTTTACCGAATTAGATGATTAATCACACTCACAGAAATTTTCCTCGATCGCCTCATTTTGAATATATCTGTATCAATCTTTCTGCTTGCATCAACGAAGATCGTTTTGTGTTCCAGATTTCACCTTGGCATGATATACCGCTGCACTTGGGTGATGGAGCATTCAATTTCATTGTTGAAATCCCCAAAGAATCAAGTGCAAAAATGGAGGTTGCTACTGATGAAATTTATACCCCAATTAAGCAAGATACAAAAAAAGGGAAACTTAGATATTACCCGTAAGACATTGTGTTTTTTCCTCGTGCACCATTTTCGAGAGCTTTTTTCTTATGTTATTGGATCATGATACTTCATCTATGGAGTTCCTGAATCTTGGTTGAATCGATAATTGTACAAGATTGATTTCTATTTTACGTTGTTACAACTGATTCCCCTGTTTTCTAGGTATAACATTAATTGGAATTATGGGTTGCTTCCACAAACATGGGAAGATCCATCATTAGCAAACCCTGATGTAGATGGTGCATTTGGAGATAATGACCCAGGTGAAATGGTGAATCAACTTTTAAGGGTTCTTTTTGGCATTTTACAAAACTTTTAGTAGCGAACTTACGATAATTCTGTGTTTTAACTTGATAAATTTCTATTAATATTCGTATTTAGCTAATGAGTTTTGGCATTTTACATAACAACTTTATTTAATTGATTTTTTGCAGTTGATGTGGTTGAAATTGGTGAAATTCGTGGGAAAGTGGGCCAACTTATGAAGGTGTCTAGCTATGATCGATGAAGGTGAGCTTGATTGGAAAATTGTTGCAATTTCATTGGATGATCCACGGGCCCCACTTGTGAACGATGTTGATGACGTGGACAAGCATTTCCCTGTAATTTTTTCTCCCTTTAAATTTCATACACTTTATAAAACCATGTGTCGACTCTCACAATGATTTAATCTTTCATAGAACATATTAAAGTTAGAATTACGTGACATTTCATCAATTTGAGTTCAATTTAAGAGACTAATTGGGGGAATTTGGTAAATTTAGGGGACTTTAACTGCAATTAGAGATTGGTTTAGAGATTATAAAATCCCTGATGGAAAACCAGCAAATAAATTTGGACTTGGCAACAAAGCAGCTAATAAGGTATGAATTTATTTTGATTGACTATTTGACTTTTTGCCGAATTTAAAAAATACCCTTTTTGATATCATGAAGTTAAAGAGAATATTTTGTTAGACCCAAATCAATATCAAGTTTTGTTTTTGTAATGAGTTAATGATAGCAATGGGCATATAGGATATTGTAAATTGGAGTGTATTGTCTAAAAATGGAAATTTTGTAATTTTATAAGGTATAAAGTTGTTACATTTTGATAGTTGAGGGTTGAAGATGGTTTGAATTGGATTACAGGATTATGCTTTGAAGGTGATTATGGAGACCAATGAATCATGGGCTAAGCTTGTGAAGAGATCAATTCCATCTGGGGAGCTTTCCCTTGTGTAAATATGAATTTTCCAAATAATCATTCTTTTTGGAAAAAAAAGTTCTTGAATTTATGCCAACATATAATATTGGAGCCTATGTCATATAGAGACATATGTGATTTATTAGGTTTGTTTGGTACGAGGAAACATTGAAATGTTATCACAAAGAAAGGGAATAACAAAGTAATGGAATGAACATTCATGTAGTCGGAAAATTAAATCAAATAATGAAAAAAAATGTTATTTTATAAAAAGAAATTTTAATCAAATAAAAATATATCGCTAAATAATGTCATTTAAAATGTATATTATATGTATTGCAGGCAGCCCGAAAAAAAAATGTTTATTATTTTAAAGTTTCAGCAACAATAATTAAAAAAATAAATATAATAAAATATTAAAAATTAAAAACACTAAACAATATTTATTCTTATTTTAAAAAAAAAAAAAAAACTTTTTTTATATAACATTTTATTTTCTGAAAACTGTTTTGTAAAATGTTTTTTTTTTTATTGAAATTTTTGAACGGTGGAAAAATAATCGGTGAAATAAAATATTTTATATATAGGAATCTTGTAATAACAATAACAAAGTATTTGCAAATCTACGATAATGGTTATATTTTTGTTATGACCTATGTTATTTAATTTGTTAATCATAATTTTAACCTAGTAATAGTAATTATAACGTAGAAGGCATTCTTTAAAATGGATTTGAATTTTGATCCCAAACTTTTGCTTTGATTTTCTTTTTTCGTTTTTGCAAAAGAAAAAAAAAAAAGTTAGATTTAATACCATCATCATCAAAATAAGAACCCATGCAAAATCTATTTGCATTTCATCTTTTTGAATCAAAAGTACAAGAATGAAAATGACAGGGTATATACATTAACACATATTCTGTAATTGTTAATGAACTCTGTATCTAATGTACATGGTTGTTCATACGTTCTTGATTTTACCAGTTATACCGATCTCGACAACTACCTGAAATTCTTGTCTAATCCGGATTCAATCTGATCCTCCACCATTGATGTCCTTGCTTCATATGTTTGATGAGGTTGGATCAGTTTCAAAACCCAATTCACTGCAGAGCTCTTCGCCGGAAAAAATGGTGGAGATGGGGGTGAAGATGCCGCCGCCGCCGCCGACTTGGTGGTGGGGTTGTGGCGGTGGTGGTGGGCTTCTCCTACGAGCGTAAGCATGGCCGCAGTCGGTGCCATTTGTTAGTTTTTAGATTATCGATCCTTTGTTTCAGTTTGAGAGGCACATGCATAATAAATTAAGGTTAAGGATAATAGATATATAACACACGGCTATGTCTATGTGGAAGAGGATAAACCGTTGGTATACTATGGGCGCCCTATGGTTTTGTTTTTTTAACTCCAGCTTGTGTTGTTCCTGTGTGCCCCTTCCGCTCTTTCTCTCTCACACACATCCATTTATGGACACACACAAGCATACATACTTATGCACACATACACATCAATATTAAAATGTATCCTTATTATTAGAGGCGAAATTATTACGAGAAGAATAGATAATTAACTACGTAACTGAATCAGGCTTGGTTCGGTTCGTACTCAATTAAGTTATAAGGGACTCACAATTTGAATTTTATTGTATGAAGCTCAGCTAGAGCTTGTAAAGAATTTTATATATATATATATATATATATATATATATATATATATATATATATCACTGATTGAAGTTTGACTCAACCTCGTTTAATAAATGAGCCTCATATATAGGTTTGATCTCCGCTCAGGTTCGTTTAACTTGATCTCGATTCAAGCTTTTAATGAGTCGATCCCGAATAGCTTGACTCACTTTCACCCCTAATGATGACATCGAAGTTTGCATAAAATAGGACATTGGATTGAGGGTGTAGGATTAAAAGGATTGTGCTGGTGGTAGGCAGTAATCCCAATTCGGTCTAGATCGATGGTCGTGGGTCGGTCCTCCTTGTGGTATATCTAGCGGTCTCAGACATGTCTCGATCTTTTAACGCTAAAGAGAGTGGTAACACTTTTAGCACGCTGTCACATCAGATTTTGTTAAGACATCTAAACATTTGTTAAAAGTGATAATGCACTCAAAGGGTAACATAGTTTAGACTGTATACACATTTAATCACTTATGTTTATTTTTTACACATTTAGTCATTTATGTTTTTTTTGTATATATTTAGTCCCTTATGTTTTTTATTTTGTACACATATGACCATTATGCTTGATTGTCATATATGTACAAAAGCAAAAACATAAGTGACTAAAATATGTACACAATCTAAGTGTACACATATGACCAAATATGTACAAAAAAAGCATAAATGATTAAATATGTACAAAAATAAATATAAGTGACTAAATGTATACACAATCTAAACTATCTTACCTTTTGAGTGCATTATCCCTTGTTAACAAATCTTAACACCTTCTAAAAGATTGGGAGCGGTGGTGAAACAATTTAATTAGAATTGATTTTGAAAAAAAAAACAAAACAAACAAATTGAGGCCAACCAATCACAGCCCACATTCTGTTGGAATCCTAAAGTCATGTAGGACCTTGGAGACCAAGTAATCAATAAATATGGCAAGTTGGTCATGTTTCCTAATTGCAATCTTATTCTACAAGTTAGGTAGTTTAGGAGTATATATATATATATATATATATATATATATATATATATATATATATATATATATAGATACCGAGATATGGTTTGTACATAAAAACACAACATAGGTTTTGAGTTATTTTCCTATTAATCAAAGAGATATTTTGATTATTCGTGTCTTTATTCCTTGAATTGGTATCAGAGCTTGAGTCAAGAAGCCTTGAATCAATTCTTACCTGTTGACAAGTAAGGTTAACATGGCTGATAAAGGGGACGACGGAGGACCGGTGACTGTGAAAGAAACCAGATCAACTTCTGTTCAGTGTCCCATGTTGAATTCCACGAATTACACGGTCTGGTCACTAAGAATGAAGGTAGTCTTAAGAATTCATAAGGCTTGGAGTGTGATTGACCCTGGAACAGAGAAGAACGAGGAGAAAGATTACCTTGCTATGGGGTTGCTTTATCAGGCAATTCCAGAAAGCTTGATAATGCAAATTGGTGATGTCGAGTCTTCAAAGGTGCTTTGGGATGCAATCAAGACTCGATACATTGGGGCTGATCGAGTGAAGGAGGCCCGTCTTCAAACCCTAAGTGCCGAGTTCGATCGCCTCAGGATGAACGAATCAGAGACGATCGACAGTTTCTCCGGAAAGTTGTCTGGAATTGCTTCAAAATCGGCGGCATTAGGATCTGTAATCGACGAATCCAAGCTTGTAAAGAAATTCCTTAAATCACTGCCACGAAAATTCATTCATATGGTAGCATCACTCGAACAGATTCTAGACTTAAATAGTACAAACTTCGATGATGTAGTCGGAAGGATGAAGGCGTATGAAGAGAGGATCAGAGAAGAAGATTCCTACGGTGGTGAGAAAGAACAAGCTCTGTTCGTCGAGCATGGTGGATCATCGAATCGGAATTGGAAAGCAAAGGGGAAAACGATGGAGGCTCACGGGTCTGGGAGTGGGAACAGAACACATGCGTTCAATAACTCAACTGGATCCGTAACTTGTGGGTCAAATGGATCAAATGGAACAGGCTCAAGTAGATTTAAATCAAAAGAGGCCCAAAGAAAATCAAATAATAGTCGGTCCAATAATAACCAATCCAATAGTAGGCCCAATTTCAATTCTGATCCAAATAGTAAACCAAAAAAGGACCGATCCAAAATTATTTGTTACCGGTGCGATAAACCAGGCCACTTTGCATCTCAATGTCCGGACCGAATCAAAAAATTACAAGAAAGTAATTTTGTTGAATATGACGATACCGACGAGGCCGTATTTTTACACGAGACCGTGTTTTTGAATGAAGAGAAGGTGATACCGTCTCGATACGACTCACAAGAAAACGATGTGTGGTATTTGGATAATGGGGCGAGCAATCACATGACGGGGAACCGGTCATTTTTCTCCGAGCTTGACGAAGGCATAACCGGTAGGGTTAAATTTGGAGACAACTCGTGTGTAAAAATCAAGGGAAAAGGTGCTATACTTTTCCAAGGCAAGAAAGGTCAACAAAGGCTGATGACGGAAATTTACTACATTCCGGATCTCAAGAACAACATTATAAGTCTCGGACAAGCAACTGAAGCTGGGTGTGATATTCGAATGAAAGACAACTATTTAACCATGCACGATGCCGATAATTGCCTATTAATGAAAGTACAAAGAACTTCAAACCGCCTTTATAAAATAAAATTACAGATTGGAGTTCCTATTTGCCTTCATTCAAGACTAAGTGAAGATGCATGGCGATGGCATGCAAGACTTGGGCACATCAATTTCGAGTCAATGAAAAAGATGTCCAAGAAGGGTTTAGTCAAAGGGTTACCTCAATTAGATCATGAGAATCAATTATGTGAATCGTGCTTAGTCGGCAAGCAAACGAAAAAGTCCTTCCCAACCATGACGACATACAAAGCAAAACAACCATTGGAGCTTGTTCACGGAGATTTATGTGGTCCGATCACGCCGGCAACCAAAGGTCAAAATAGGTACATTTTTACACTAATTGATGATTTTTCACGATTTATGTGGATTTATCTCATAAAAGAAAAGAGTGAGGCGTTTACACACTTCAAAAAATTCAAAGCTTTGGTGGAAAATGAAATTGAAAAGCCTTTGAAAGTGTTTAGAAGTGATCGAGGAGGTGAATTACCTCTCTCGAGTTTAATTCTTTTTGTGAGCAAAACGGAGTTAAACGCCATCTCACCGCCCCATACTCTCCACAACAAAACGGAATTGTGGAACGAAGAAACCGAACTCTTATGGACATGACACGGAGTATAATGAAGGCAATGCATGTTCCAAACTACTTATGGGGAGAAGCGGTAAATCACTCAACAAATCTAATCAATCGAGTCTACACAAGAGTCCTTGGTGATACAACTCCATACGAAAAGTTGTATAAAAGAAAACCGAATTTAGAAAATGTTCGTATATTTGGGTGTCTAGCACATGCAAAAGTTGAACCGGTTAATCAAAAGAAGTTGGATGCAAGATCAAGACCACTAGTCCATGTTGGTTTCGAACCAGGTGCGAAAGCTTACCGGTTATTTAACCCGGTAACACAAAAAATAATCGTGA